CTCAGCCCAGCACTGCAGTTCCTTACCCAGCTGTTCAAGAAGTACTTACAGCCTTTGGTCAGGACAGGTAGAAATGGACACACAAAGTACTGTGGCAGGTACTGGGCTCCAGATCTCATGTTGTAACGTCCTTTAGCATGTGAAGCATGTTACAAGTTTCGGCATGATAAAGGATTTGTTGTTAGCAATGTTTAGAGAATTATTTTACCATTTGGCCTTGTATAACTACTTAAACATATTCTTAATAGATGGGGAATTACAACTCTGTGATGTGAAGCTATGACTTCTTCTTTTGCTCATTTAAAAACAATCAAACCAACCCACCAAAGCCAGTAGTTCCAGCAAGCTACAGTTTGTTACAGCAAAGTAAACAAAAATGTTTGTTCTTCATAAAAGACAACTAGCAAAAAAATGCGTTAGGGAGGAGGGCTCCCAGGATATACACTGCTCTCTGTCACACATTAATAGATGCCTTACAAGCTCTGTGTTTGTTCTGGCCTGCAACTATTAGTTGTTTGGGTTTCTTTTTTAGCTTTCCTGGTCTGCTTTTTTCTAGTAACAGATAGTTTTCTGATACAGCTAAACATACGGCAGGAGCTAACTACCCATAAAGCTTTACAAAATATTAGAATTGTAACTTGAGAGGAAAATGCACAGATGTAGCTAACTCTTCTCTTCTTACTCAGTGAATTTTTATCAGAAGAAGGTCAAGAAAAGTTCTGGAATTTTGTTGAAGCCAGTCAAAATATTAAGATATCTGAACATGATGGTAAGCTTTCATAATCTTTGTGATGACTGATAGTGGGCATGGTCGAAAAATAAACTAAAATGTTTTGTGTTAGTATCATAGAAGTCAAATGAGGACTGATTTCAGTAACTTTTTTGTACTGTGAAGTGCTCAAGACATTTTGATGTCCATTTGACAGAAAGAAGCTCTAGTGGATGAGTTTGAAACACATTTCACTTCCAGTTTCTGTTTCAACGTGAAGTATAAAATGCCGTACATACTACTACTGGGTTTCTGTTTCTCAGTGGGAGCTTTTGACTGTTTCCCTCCTCCCCAAGCCTGTTTGCCTCCTCAGGAGAGCGTGTCAGTATACTCTCAGAGCTCACTATGGAAGTTCACTCTCATCCATCTGTAGAACTGGCTGCAATAAAAACTGAGGAGGAACAGTCACGTGCATATTTACAGTTAATGCCATGGGCTTCTGTTAGTATAAATCACAAATAAGGTGAAAAGCCCCTCTTCAATGAGAATATATTATGGAAAGGTAACTGCTTCTCCTTTGCCTTTGCAGGTAGCGATTACTCTTCTTACCATGAAATGCTGAAAGTAGCCTGCCAGAGCCTGTCACCTTTGCAGCAGAATTTGTTGAAATTTTCCTTGTCGTTGCGCTCTTACTCTGCAACAGTTCAAGCTTTTCAGCAGGTTAGTACAGCACGGGGGAACTCCTCAGATGATTTGTGGAGCGTTACTTAAGGCCCAGGAAGGAGTGAGCTGTGTAAGGAGACATTTATCAGATATCTTAAACTGATCCAAGTGCTTCCTGTATCTGAGCTGGGGAGCACAGGAATGTTCTGATTTCACTGGGTGCCAAATTTGCATCCATCTGTCTGGAGCAGACTAAGGAACTGGGATTTCAAAATGTCTGCGTGTTTTTGATGCCTGCTGCCCGTATAAATGTGTAAAGATTTTTATGAGGAAAATCCCTGTGGCTCCATTGGTACTTGGGCTGCTGCTGCCGTTCCCGTTATTCAGTTGTACTTACTTGAAGATAATGATCAGATCCCACGTACGGAAGTTTGTTGTACAGTCTGTTCTGTTTCAGGCTCTGGGTATCATGTAGTTCATTGCCAACTGTCTCGCATTATAACGTGCTTTGTCTAAGTAGTACTGGAAGACTTCTGTTTTCACCTGGAATTATTTCATCATTTGATGTTTAACAAATAGAGGGGTTTCTGATGTGCAGTGCAAAAAAAAAAACCCTCAAAAAATCACCTCAAAACCAGCTAAAACCCCTACAACTGGAAGCCTCACTTTTTGTATCTGGAACTAATATTACAGTTAGTAGTAATAGACTGGTAAACTATTTATAGTAATTTAAGACTTAATTCTTAATTTTGCAGCTTTTACCCTCTATTTACATTATGTACTAAACAGGGAAGAAGTACTAGTTTAGAATTTAGGAAATCGAAGAAGAGCTACAGAGCTATGCTGTTATCACTTTCACTTGTTCTAAGGGCAGACATTGAACTACTTTATCATAATTTTTTTAATACAGATAGCAGCAGATGAACCTCCGCCAAAGGGCTGTACCCTCTTCTTTTCTGTGCATGGGGAGAAGACATGTGAATTTGACTCTCTTGGAAGCCTTTTACAGGCAGCTTCGGAAAGGTATTTGTTTAATTTCCTATCTTTGGATTAACTCTTAAAATTTAACCTAGTAAAACTTACTGCTGTAAAGAGACTGTCATAAACTGGCAGTTTCTACATTGTGCACAAAAGTCGCAGTCTTTTTTTTTTTATTAATCCACATTGTAATGGTTGTTTTCTGAGCCCTTACTCTTTAATATTCTGCTAGGAGGAGGAATGCTTTGAAAGTGCATGGGAAAGTTGGAACCCATTTGTTGAAGGACACTAGGAATTCTCAGGAAAATGTAAAGCCTTTAGTATGTAGGGAGAATAGAAAGAGAGGGGCTGCACATTAAAATGATAGTTAATATAACAGAAATAGTTTCATGAATGCCTTGAAGCATGTATAGTATTTCTTCCCCCATATAATTTTCTCAGCATTAACAAAGAAAACTATTACCCCCCAATATATTTCAAATTCAGGTTTCTTTACAGGAAAAGAACTTGATTTCAAATTTTAGTAACAAAAAGAAACTATAAAATGTAATACCTCTTTAGAAAAAAAACTCCATAAATTTTGGGTTGTCCTCATAGTAATAGTGGTAGTTTGGGGTTTTGTAAACATGAAGGGGTTTTGTGTTAGTGTGCAGCCGTATGGCATCTATGGCTCACTGGGAATATTTTAAATACTTTGTTGTGTTTTCAACAAAATTTAAAAAGAGAAGTTAAAAATACTCTTCTTGTGTGCTTTCTTCTTTGTGTACTAAGCCAAAGACAAGGTTCTCTTGAGTTCTTGCAACATTTAGTCTGTTAGTCTTATTTTTTTTATACAGAATTTATGAATCACCATTGGCAGAAAAAAGTTCATTGAAAATTTTAAGGAAGTGGTTAATTTTAAAAATAAGAATCGTACTAGATTGAAAATAGCACCTAGCTACTTGTTTCAATTTCATATGTCTATTTTTAACAAAGCTTTATCAACATGCATCAAGTGCTGCTGACCTTGATAATATGTGGGAATATCTTGATATGTACTCAGTGAAGAAAGGAAGAATGACTCAAAGAAATTCTGCATCTTGCATTGAGCGCGGAAATGCTGTGAATCACAGTGTGATAACCTTCCATGTTTTCTCTCAGGCCAAAGCCGTTTTTGTTCAAAGGGGACCACAGATACCCCACGTCAAACCCTGACAGTCCTGTTGTCATATTTTATGCCGAGATTGGCTCAGAGGAATTCTACAGATACCATAAGCAGCTTGTCTTAAAGGCTGAGGCAGGAGAAATCACTTATGTCCTCAGACATTATATTGCTGTAAGTATATCTGTGCATTGTAACAAAGGTATTTGACATGGGCAGAGTAGCTGGCCTGGGGCTTGAAAAAAACCAATTTGGCCTTAGTTTGTTCCCTTTAAATTGACATTTGCGTAATGTATTGCTGCTTGATATTAATTTGGAATACTCAAGTTAAATTTTTTATTGCATGTAGCTGAGGAATTCAGAATATTTTAAATCTCATGATTGTTTAACTAACAGGATCATTTGATTTTACAAATGCACATTTAAACTCCAGATAAATTAGAGTTTAATCTAAAAAATTGTTCCTCTCCTATACTAGAGTATAGGAAATAGTCAGATCTTTCCACAGTCAGACTGCTTAGTTTCTTGATATGAAAAGCAGGGACTAACCTTAAGGTAGCATGTTCAAATCTAGTGCAATTTATCCCGTTTTCCATCTCCCTCCTCTAAACTGTCCATAACCCCTGGATTAGTGTTTACTTCTACCTTTCAAAAGCTCTGAGAAGTTTGAGTTGACTTTTTCCCTGAATATTGCTTAATGTTGCTACAACCCACTGTGTAGCAGGTAGGTAACATCTAGACTTGAATGCAAAAAAACCATCAGCTGCTTCACTTCTAGCAACATCTACACTTTTGATAAAATGACGCCGTACAATACAAACACCGTTTTCCTTTTAAAAAGTAATTTGGTTTTCAGTGTTGAGATGAGTACTTACGTTCTAAATTAAGTGTATTAAACAATAGGTCTTGATACAGTTGTGTCACTCCTGTGTACTTCAGAATACTTCTAACAAGTGGTCATCTTTGTTTCCCGTTAAAATCAGAATTAATTATGTGTCTCTTCAGTCAATGATATATCTATTTCTTTAAATTTTCTGTTGTAGCTCTTCAGTGGATGTTTCATTTCTGAATGTCAGGGTTTAGGTTCCTTTCCCTTCTCTGTCTGATTTGATGACATGAATCTGTCCTGCTCTACTTGGCTTTCATGCTGAACCCTGAAAACATTGTTCGGTGTTGCTTTGTGGGTTTTCTTGTGTTTTTTATTTTTTGGCTCATAGAGATATCATTGCTCTTTGAACTTAAAATAGCTTTCTTAAAATACAATGGGAAGTATAACTGTTGCAGTGC